AACTAAATTTGTTCTAAATTACCTTTTTAATTTAATTTTTATCTTTTCACACAACTCTATACTTGATTTTGCTTAACCTAACCCGATGCCTGATAGTGAATTTTTAACTCTCTTTTGCCTAAATTCTTGTAGGAATGATAACTTTGAAAAACTCTTTATACTTGACCCATACGCTTGACAGGAAATGCGGAAATTGTTTGCTGTGGTTAATTTTTACTATTGCGTTAGTAGGTTATGTTTGAGACTTTAATTTTGCTATCCTTAAACTTGATCCTTAGAGTATGCTCTTGAAGGTTGCTATTTATATGTGATGATAGATATCAAGATGCATGCTTCTTGTTGTTTTCGTACCATTATTGAGGGCTAGCTGTACTATCTAATGCTTGCTGGTTATATCTGTAGTGAGGCAGGAGATTACACGTATATGACTTCTAAATTTGTCTAAATGATTTGAGACTCATAGTACTCTATTCTTTTTTGCTGCACTTCTACTAAAACTTGAAAAGCGAATTGCTGACGTATTGACTTTAGCCCATCAACCTTAGTATCAACCCACAACAAACCATTTAGATTCTTGCCACTGAATGTCTATGAATCATGGCCTATTAACCAGCAAATATCGCAACGCTCATGGGACTCCAACAAAACAGATACCAAAAGGATTCCCCTTTTCTATAGCAGTATAGGTAGAGCAGAAAGTTTGATTTGTTCTGTTTATTCTCACTACATTACTTTTCTGTTTATACTCTCCGAACTCTAAAATACGATATAATAGATATGATCAAGGTTAGTTGTCCCTTTTGATACTTTAAAGGTTAAACTCTCTAAACTATAGTCTATAATCTTGTTTTTGAAGATACTCTTTCCATTCTATGGACACTGAAAGTTGCTTCTCATAGAACTATTTGGTGCTGCAAGTGTAGACATTCCTTGAACTTTCTGTTATGATTTAAAATTTTGATGCTGTATGTAAGGCTTCAAGGGTCCTTAGTTGGTGGTGCTTTAATCCAGGAATAGCTATGGAAGTTTTTCCTAAGTTGGGCGTTGGCTATGTTATATTGACTTCTGGCACATTATCTTTTGCTCAGGAGCCGAAAATGTTAAGTCATTTTTGTTATTTTATTTTATTTGATAGCATCATTGTTGTCATAGTACTTAACGGAGTGGATTCTGGTCATGTCAGAGATTTTCCTATTCGGGTAGCAAAAAGGCATGTAATAACCCCAAATCAGGTATGGGCTAGCGTTGTACCAGTTGGTCCTTCAGGGTGTACTTTTAACTCTTCCTACTGCACACGTGATTCTATAGAGTACATGCAGGAGCTTGGTATGCGGCATTAATTATTTTTTATGCCGAGCTTGTTAAATTTAAGCTTTATGTGTTAATTGTCTCACCATTTTGGAAGCACCTGTCTTGTTATAATAATGAGAGTTCTTCATTTTAATCACTATTAGTGACAGGAACATCACATTCTTGTCATGGCTTAGTCCTGCTTTTTGCATTTTAGAAGTATTTCAGATTTTGAAGTGCTTTGTAATGACTCTTCATGCCATCGAAGTTTCCTGTTTGTGCATGTCTACACGTAATATTGTGTCCTGGTTTTTTGTGTTGCACATGGGCATTTTAGTTTTGGATTTGAATTTATGGATCTGACTCTGAGTGCTAAAGATAGTCATGAGTTGATTATGCCATCACTAGCTGATGACCCGGATTAAGGTCAGGTATAATTTACAAGTTTTGTTATATATCCGCTATAAATAGTAAAGGGAGCCAAAAGAGGAATAATCTTTGCCATCCGGGATGCCTTGATTTTTTTTTTGCTGCAAAATGTGGAGATGCTATTTCAACAAAGAGGCAGAGGCTAAATATCCTTTCCTCTGTGTCCTCCTCCTCTTGTCATTTGAGCTTCTGGTTCTTTCTCTTTTGGTACCATTGTCCAGTGCTTTCTCCGTGCTTGTCAGGCTTGGTTCTTTCTTGTTTGTGCCTGCTGGAGCTGGATGGTTTTCTGTTTTCAGTTCTGATGTGAGTTTGTTTTCAGAAGAGAAAGTGAAGTTAAGGCTAGCCGTGGATGCTAAATGTCTTCTCATGGAATGAACACTTGTCTGTTTTTCAATCTTGTGGTCGTCTTGCCCAGATTAAATGTGCCGTCAGTATCAGACATGGGATCTCCTAAGATTGCTTAAGTTTACCCTTGTATAAAATATATTATTGACATTGTGTCTATTTTGTGTTTGTTGTTTGATGGTTTTATGAATCTTTTGGATAGTTTTACACTTATCTAAATTTTTTATTCATGGTCAGTGTATATGATATTGGATTTGATTGTGTGGAGATCTATTTTGTCCCTTGTCCGTCGTTTATGAGATTTTTGTTGTGTTTTGTTTTGTAGAAGTCCTTTATAAGATTTTGATTACCTTGTATATGGGCGTTGTTTTGTTATATATTGGGCCATTCATCTTCAAAGACATTGTTTTTGTTTGTTTAGTAGCTCATTCAATAATCCTGTATTATATATATTATCAGAGTTTTGTCAAATTACGAAATATATTTTTTAATAAAAAGAGTATTAAATTAAAAATTATTAATAATAAATAAATAAATAACTATTAGGTTTTATAAAAATTAATAATAAATGATTAAGTTATATGAATGAAAAGTAAAAATTAATTTATCTTACAAATAGTGATTTTCGATATCATATCTTATTTTCCTTCTCATACATTGTGGTCATTCTTTTTGAGATTGAAGTTTTTCAATTATCTAACTTTAAATGTAATAAATTAACTTAACTAATTTCCTAAATTATTATAAATTAATTATCTAATTTTTATATTTTAAACCAAATGAAGTATTACTTACATGTAATAATCTTTTATATCTGTATTTAATCTTTTTATTAATAAATTAGTTGCAATTATTTTCAGTGGTGGAATCACGTTGTCCTCAAGGCAGGTCAAGTTTCACTACTCAATGCTATTATCTTCAGTGGTGGAATACGTTTTCATACAATTCACAATCCCAACCTTCTATATAATTTATATAATATGTGTGTGTTTGTTTGTTATCTGACCCTCCTCCCTAAACTAAAAACATATAATGATCTATCATTTTTGTAACATGCATATTTTTCACACATCAATTATTATAAAAAATTGAAAATTTGTATAGATTAATTTTTTAATATGTCAAATATATAATTTTTCTATATTATTTATCTGATAGCTTTTTCCTATACTATTTATATTTGTTATGATTAATATTATAGATATATAATTTCAATTTGAAAATTTTTGTATATTATTTATTTGATAAGTTTTTCCTATATTATTTATATTTGTTATGATTAATATTATAAATATATAATTTCATATATAATTTATAGATATATTTGTTATGATTAATGCGATACATAAACAATTAATTAGTATAAATATTAAAAATAAATAAAATATAGAAGATTGTATATTAATTTTAAAAACTTGACCCCCTCCCTTTACATTTATGCTGATTCTATCCCTAATTATTCTATAAAAAATTAATTACATGTCTACATCTATAATTAAGAAAAACTTAACATACAAAACATTAATGATTAAATATCAAGCTTTTACTAAAAAAAATTAACTTTGATGTAAAAGTTGAAAAAATATTAAAAAATGTACCTTAATCAAATGGAGAATCAAGCTTTAAGAAGATAAAAAAATGCACTTCGAACTCTATGCACAATACTAACACCACCAACTAGAGTAGAGAAATGAAATAGAAAGAAAGAATTTTAAAATTTGAATAAGAAAGAAATGAAAGAACATGAGAAATGAAGCAGGCAAAAAATGAAGTAAGATGAGAAGCATAAGAATAAAATGTTAGAACATTAGATAAATAAGAGCAAATAATATTATATTCAATCTCACTAACGTAGAAATAAAACAAGAAGTGCAGAAATTACCCTTGAACAAATTCGAAAAGCCTCACAATATCTAGCCTTGATCTCGCTACCGCCATCTTTATGTATTCAATCCTTTATATAGCTAGTAAAATATGCATGCACATGAATTTTTTAGTCCCAAATGTGAAAAGCAAAACCTGGAGAGTTCCCTAACAAATGAAGAAGGGCTTGACAGATCACTAGGGGAAAGAAAGCAGAGATTTAAAATAAAATATCACATCAATAATAAAAAGCTGAAATCATTTACTTTTCATAAAATAAAAAAATAATTTCTAACTCTAAAATTATTATAGGTGAAAATGACTTTTTCATGAGCTCAAACTCATTTTTCATCTAAAAAATTTTTGGTGTAGTATTTTAGTAAATATTTTTCATGTTGTAGCATTTAGGAAATATTTTTTATTGTGTATAGTTTCTTGGTAAAAAAGCCATAGAAATTATATACATCAAAGTCCCTTGGGATTTCAGAATTATTTTCCATTTCATGGGGCTTTTATGTAATCTTTCTATAGGATTCAATAGTGATTTTCCTTATAAATTATTATAACTATTATAATTACAATCGGTGAATATTGATACTTTTTATGATTAAATGTCAGTTGTAGAATATTATTTCCATTCTGGCAAAAAAACACTAGGATATTTATAAACAGTAAACTAATAAAATAAGTTTATAGACAATTTTTAAATATTTTAAAAATAAAAAAATAACATTTTAAGATTAAAAAAGTTACCGTTGTAAAGACAAAACGCGTGCCGTTGAGTCTTTCTTCGGCTTTTTCATAGCCGTTGAGAGAGAGCCAACTACAGTATACAAGCTCCTCCTCCATGGCGTCGCAGATCAAACAGTACCGCCCCATTGCTTCTGCCCCGCTTCCTTCATCTGCATCTTTTTCCCTGACCGCTTCGCTCCTCGTCCTCGAGCACGTCTTCTCCTTCATTCACTCCGACCAGGACCGTAACGCCATCTCCTTGGTCTGCAAGTCATGGTACGAGATCGAACGTCGGTGCAGGAGGAGCATTTTCATCGGCAACTGCTATGCTTTCAGCCCTATCATGGTGGTCAAATGGTTCCACAAGTTGAGATCCATTTCGCTCAAAGGAAAGCCTCACTTCGCCAACTTCAATTTGGTTATGCCTGCCTTGGATCGAATATGGCTGTTGCCTGTCCGTGGCTAGAGGAGATCAATCAGGCTCAAGAGGATGGTCATAAGGGACGAGAGCTTGGAGCTAATTTCTAAAAAGTTCAATCACTTCCAAGTCTCGGCGTTATCCTCGTGATTGCAGCCAGGTGATTACGTTCATTCTAGGGCTTTTGCTTCTTCAACATTTTTAGTCCTTTTTTACGTTTTCTCTTGGCTCTTGACGCAGACTTTTTCTCATCATGTGCACAATAGTATATCTGTCTGATAGTTATTGTTCTCCTTGTTTAGCTTCAATAAAGAAGAGCAACATTAATGAATTCATATCGGTACCCTGTTTCTGTAAGGATATATATATATATATATAAATGAAAACTCAAATTCTATTATGTTCTTTTAAACGTAGTTCATATATACGTTAATCATCCATGACTCTACCCTAACATTCCGTTTTAATTCTAATTAAGTCGATTGAGTGATTCGTTTATCTTGGGGATTTGGTTATGTTATTACCTGTATTTGAATGTTAGTTGAATGGATTAAGTTATTTCTATTCAGTCCCTTATGTATAGAAACCTGAGGAGTCTCAAGGAAACACATGCATGGATTCGAGCCTAGAAATTATTATATTTGTTGTCTCATTTATACCTCTATTTGCAGAGTGAATAGTGGAAAAGCATTTTGTCAGGGCACCCTAAGCCTCTAGTAGCTTTGGTAGTTTTTGCATAATTCTTTCTAGATTCTGTCTCTCTGATTGAATGATCTATGAAAGTATATGTGCAGTTTGGCTCAGATTGCTAACTGTTACATGTTCAAAAAGCTACAAGAATTTTGAGCCTGCATCCCGAGTTAGAAAATTGATTTTAGCTTTTTTTTTTTTTAATCTAAAATTTGTCAATTTACTAGCATTGATAAATGTTATATATTGCTGGCTGTCTCAATGTTTAATATTGTTCTTTCTTGCTCTATTATTTTCTTTTTTCAGGTTTAGGCTCTTGAATTGAATGATCATGGATTCCCTCGCATATTTATGTTCTATGTGGTGACTTCTTCCTCAGTCAGTAGTATGATGTTTTATCCATTTACGTTTTGGATTTTCTGGAGCTTTTACCAATCTCATTGATAGGATTTAAATTTGCTTAAATGTATTGGAAGATAAAAAATGTTCCCCGCCTCCCCTCTCTAATTCATCAAAGGAGATACTATGGTTCATCGTATAGCATAGAAACTAACAGAGAACCTATTTCTATCTGTAGGCTAAGCTCTACTATTGGTGGATGTTCCAAGGGAAACAAACATAACTGGTATGTATAATTTATGAGTTTTCAATGAAGACTTAGCTTCTTATTTGTTTGCATGTTGGATTCTGCATTGGCTTATCAGAATTTGTCTCCAACTTTAGTAAAATTTGACATTTTTCTGACCAATGAGAATTATTGTGTATCTATTAACAACATTCTTTTTAATTTCTCTGATTATTTATGTATGATCAAGAACCTAAAAATTAACAATTATTTAGAGATGAGAATATTAATTTTTCGAAGATATCCAATTTTATGGTTAATAAATAGATAAAAGGGTACAAAATCATATATATTTAACAAACATGCTCTCAAGTTCGGTTCGGAGGCTACATTCTATTTTTGGTTTCTATAGTTAAAAATGTTTCATAATTGTATGCAATTTCTCATGGAAATTAGCTTCCTCAATGGCGGTATTAGATTACAACTTTCCTTTTGCACAGCTGAAGTTATGCTGTGTGCTCTCTTCAGAACGTTAAATACTGACAGGTTAATTGACTTTATTTCTTACTTCCTCCGTTCAAAAATATAAAACATTTTTTGAAGAGTTAAATGTTAAAAAATATAAGGCATTTTTAGTCTTTTGAGATGTAATCATTGCTTTTTTTTTCTAAAAGTGCTCTTATTGATAATAATTTTATATTTATTATAGGATGTTTAACAGGGTAAATATGAAAAGATAGGGTTAGTTAAAAAGTAGGTAAATACTTTATTGGAGGGTAAGATTTGATTAAAAATGCCTCACATTTTTTAATGGAGGGAGTAATTGATTTACTTGTTCAATTCTAACAATTTTAACCTTGAAGATCCAAAATGAAATATCATGTTGCCATCATTTAGCTTTGTTATATTTACTAGCTTATTTAAACTTGCTAAAATGAGCTATTCGACACAATTCTAACAATTTTAGCAGCTTATGTTTCAGAAGCAATTCGACACAAGTTATGCGAGATAAATCTTAAAAGTTAATATTGGAATATTTTTGAGTAGATATTTGTAGCTAACAGAAGTTCAATCTACCCTCTAGAATAATGATGATCCCTTTGCTGCTCCTCTCAACTCGAATGACCATTCTAGCCCCTCCCCCTTCCACTTCCTTTCTTTTTTTACCAAGAACAAATTGGATGGGTTTAATTTTAGAACTTATTAGTTACTACAAATTCTTAGGTAGACTGAATCTACCATATTATTTATGATTTATCTAATTAAAATGTCACAAGTCATTTAAATAAAATTTTATGTAATATTATTTTAATTGATTTTAACATAAAACAAATTTAATGACATCTAAATGTCATGTTTTTACTGAATAGATCACAAATGATGTGGAGCACCCGATTTATCTAAAAATTTCTCACAAATTTTACATTTAAAAACAACTCTTACAAAATTGCTTGTGTTGTTTATAGTTTAAGATTTTTGTGTCAACAATATAAGTCTTTGAGATATATAAGTTATCGTATTTAATTAGTCATGTCCTTATTTAATTTGTCTTAAGTAATAATTTTAAATGTTTAAAAATATTAAATTAAATTTAATTCTTTATGTACTGATAAGTCATGCAATCTTTAAGACTAACATCATTTTAAATATTGAAGATTAAAAAAAAATCAAACGAATAATCATTTATTGTTTGCTTGACCCTCCTCTAACATCCTTTGGGTTTTGATTATAGATATTGTAAGGAATCAAAATGCAAGGGAGGGTCTAAATGGGGCAAGAGCATACTCAAGTCCATGGGTGAAACCACATCTTAACCAAGTTTATGATGTGGCATACGGAATAAAATGGGAATAGAGATTTGATGTTTGTGGCATGTCTTTGATATTAGGAGTTTGCGAACTCACACTTCACCAATTTATTCTCTCTCCCTATTTTTAGGTGGTTGCTCCTCATTCCTTACAAGTGATATTAGAGTCAAGTGTTTTGTTTGGGACTTGAAAGCTTGTATTGTGCACACGTTAAAAGTCCAAAATGGGATTTATATGTATCACATTGTTTGAAGCCTAAAAAAATTAGGTTAGCCTTGATTACACATGAACATAAACTTGGTGTATTGTTGGACATGCAAGAACATAAACTTTGTGAGAGTGTGTGTGTGTGTGTGTGTGTGTGTGTTTTTTTTTTTTTTTTGCCTAGGACTTGAAAAGCCATATTATGCACAAGTTCAAAGTCTAAAATGAGTCTTGTGTGCATTACATTGTTTGAAGCTCAAAAATTGGACTAGCCTTGATTTTGGGTAGTCACTCTCTATCGAGTTTTGTTCGGGACTTAAAAGCTTGCATTGTGCACATGTTTAAAGCTCAAAATGAGACTCATGTCTAACACCTTTTGAAATCCAAGAACATAAACTTGGTGTATTGTTGGACATGCAAGAACATAAACTATGTGAGTGTGTGTGTGTGTGTGTGTTTTTTTTTTTTTTTGCCTAGGACTTGAAAACCCATATTATGCACAAGTTCAAAGCCTAAAATGAGTCTTGTGTGCATTACATTGTTTGAAAGCTCAAAAATTGGACTAGCCTTGATTTTGGGTAGTCACTCTCTATCGGGTTTTGTTCAGGACTTAAAAGCTTGCATTGTGTACATGTTTGAAGCTCAAACTGAGACTCATGTCTAACACCTTTTAAAATCCAAAAATACACCAATTATAGGAACTTGGTGTTTGTGGTGTCTTTAATGTTGTGAGCTTTGTTTATTTGTTCTCTTTTCCTATTTTTGAGTGATCGCTCTCCATTTTTAACAAGTAATATGAAAGCCTAGTTTATTCTGGGACTTGAAAAGCTCATATTATGCACACATTTGAAGCGCAAAATGAGACTTGTGCACATCACACTATTTGAAGTTTGAAAATTAGGCTAGCTCTAATTGCAAGAACAAAGACTTAGTGTTTGTGACATCTTTAATATTGAGAGCTTGTGAGCTCACATTCTAATTGAAAGGACAAGTGGTGTGAAAGTCAGGTTTTGTTCAGAACTTAAAGTTTGTAGTGAACACAAAATCATAATCCAAAATAAAACTTATGTGCAAGAATAGAGGCTGGATAGTTGTGACATCTTTACAAGAACATAGACTTGGATTGTCTAAGTGTGGTTGTCTTGTCTTCACCAGTTTGTTCTCTTTAACAATTTTTAGATGGTCACTCTTTTTTTCTAACAAGTAATATGAGATGATAGCCTGATATTGTCCAGGATTTTGAAAGCTCAAAAATTAGGCTAGTTTTGCATAACACTTTAAAAATTATACCAATTTCTCTTGATTTATTTATATCACAATTAGCTTTTCAAAATATTATCATGGTAAATAAAGGTTTATCATAATAGAAAAGACTTTAAATATTATTGAAAAGCCTTATTATGGTAGAAAAGAAACTACCATGACAACTAAGACTTAAAATCTTAGCATACCATAGTAGAAAGAGTCTTTCTAATATAAAGCATTTCTTAACTTGGACTATCATAGTAGAACAGGATCTAACATGGTAGAAAAAGATTAAACATATAAAATAAAATTGTCATGGTAATTTAAGAAATAATCAACATAGATAAGAAGAAATAATTAATAATTAATTAATTTGTATCTAATATGATCCCATTGAGGTATTTAAGAGTGAAGCATGATATACAAAGGACTAATTTATTCAAAAATAACTTAAAAATTTATTAAAGCATGGTTCATAGTAATGATCTCTTGCAATAGAGGCAATAGAGGCATGGATTAGTTCCACAAGTTTCTAAAAAAAAAAAATTCCTTCATTTCTCTCAAATCTTTTTCCCCAATTCTCTGAATATGTCAACCCTATGACAATTTTTTATTGGTCCTATTGTGACTCTGGTTTTTATTGGTCCTATGACAATTTTTTATTGGTCCTACTATCAACCCTACTGTGACTTGAAACGTAAAAAAAAAAATACAGAGACTTATAATAAAATTTAAGTAAAATATAAGAATTCAAAATTAAGTTTTTCTTTGAAAGGATCCAAAGTAATGTTTTTCTTTAAAAGTATATTTTCCAAACACCTTTAGTAGCTTTTCACTTTTGAAACATGAGTGTGAGCTATTAATGTCTAACTTTTGATAAACAAATTCACTTTTGCAAATGAATTTTTCACACTTTTGCTAATCTAATTAAGAATTAAATGTTTTATTTTAAAAACAAAAAAATGAAATGAAAACAATCATTATTTAACTATTATTTTTTGTCTGAAAATAATACCATATGGGAGGAGAGTGCATGAAAGGGAGAGGGAAAAGAAGAAAAAAAAGAATAGGGAAGAGAATTAGGATACAGATGGATGTCTAGGTTAGATCAGAATAATAATAATTATGCAAAAAATAAGGAAAGAAGAAAAGAAAGATGCCGAAAATAAAGAAAGGAGAAAATAATGCCAGAATGTTGGTAACCCATACAATCTAGACAAAAGATACAAAAAGTAAAGAACTAGACTTTAAAACATTGCCAAAACGATCGTAGTCTACATAGTCTAGATGAAGATAGAAACTAAAGTGTGAGAAAATAAATGCAGAAGTACAAGAAAGTATAAGAAGATTAATAAAAGAATTTATTCAAAAAAATGAAAAAGGAGGCTTAGAAAGAGGACTCTCTTTCTCAAGACTCTCTCTTATACAAAGAGCTCCCTTAAAAGGGACCTTACATGTCTTTTATAAGATCTTGAAAAAATATCCAACAATCAAGATTTGTTTAATCTAATGTTTTACATTTCATCTAATTATCTTCATCCAACAATTAGTAACTTGCCACCTAGTCAACATTTGATAGTTAGCAACTTACCATCAAGTCAGCATTCAATGATTAGCAACATTTAATGGTCAACGATTAAACAATCAAACCTCTTTTTTTATAATAATATTTTGCAAGGTTAATTCTGAAGCATTCATTTTCATTTTTTTGTGCATAATCTGCTTCAAAAACTCTAGAAGAAGAAGACTACGCACAAGAAAATGAAGATGGCTATTTGGGAATTAACCTTGCAAAAGATTAGCCATTTTAAAAAAAAGAGGAGAAGTAAAAAAAAAGAGGTTTGATTGTTGACTGTTTAACTATTGACCATTGATTATTATTGATCGTCATATACCAACTTGATGGCAAGTTGCTAATTATTAGATGCTGACTAGGTGGTAAGTTGCTGACCATCAAATAAAGACGGTTGGATGAAATGTAAACCCTTAGATTAAACAAATCTTGATCATTAGATATTTTTTCAATGTCTATATAAACCCATGTAAGGTCCTTGTTAAAGCTTGTATAGAGAGAAAGAGAGGTTTTGAGAGAGTCCTCTTTGTAAGCCTCCTTTTCCATCCTTTTCAATAAATTCTTCTATTAATCTTCCCATACTTTCTGGCTCAAAAAAAAAATCTTCCTATACTTTCTTGTACTTTTGCATTTATTAATCTTGATTGTGAGAACTATTATCATTCTAGCACTATTTTAAATTGTAGTTCTTTACTTTCTACATCTTTTGTCTAAATCGTGCGAGTTATCATTGTTATGGCATTATTTTATTTCTTTATTTCTCACATCTTTCTTTTCTTCTTTATTTATTTTCTGCATTATTATTATTATTATTATTATTATTATTATTATTATTATTATTATTGCGGTCTAACCCAGCAATCCATTTGCATCCTACTTCTTTTGCCTATTCTTCTTTTCCCTTTCCTTTGGGCACCCTCCTTCCATTTAGTATCAAACCCAGGGGGGAATGTATAGATAGAATGTGAGCTAAAGATTTACTATGTCAAATCTTATGTTAATATATTAATATTATTTCATCTATTAGTTCGCTAGTACGTATCATTTTTAAAGTAATCTTATGAAAATATTTGTTAGGATATTGCCATAACCTTGCAATAATAATAAATAATGTGTATATATTCTTTCTTTACATTTCTATGAAATTTGAAGGTGGGATTAATTTTTCTGTGCTTGAAATACTTTATTTTTATATGCTCAAAATACGTTATATTACTTAATTGCATTTATGGTTAATTTCATCCACCGAATATTTATGACACAATTATACTCATTGTATTAATCAAAAAATTTAATGAATTAAGTCTATTTTACACCAAAATAAAATTGCAAGTCAAACTTTTCCAAGACGTATGATATAAACAAAATTAAGATTAATCAGTCTCAATTTTAAGGATTTAAATATTTTGGGATTGATGAATTTAAGTAAAATTTTATTTTATTTTATAGTATTTTTGTTCATTTTATTATTTTAAAAAAATTCATCAATTTCAAAAGATTTTAAAAAATAAAAAAAATAATGGAAAATAGTCGAAAGCAAATTTCATTTCATACCGCAAATCTTCCGCGCCAAGCTTATTTTCGAACGAAGAAGCCCGCGCGTGAGACCAATCGCCAAAACCAGACCCATAAATAATTCCAACTTCATGTTTCGTTCGTCTCTCTTATCGATCTACATCTTCTCCATTGATCCTTCAGCAAGCTTTCTTTATTCTCTCTGGTCGCGTTTAACTCCTTTCATTTGCATGTGTCTTTTCCATTGAAAAATGGATGCACTGGAGCGCTCTCTCAAGTCCCCGAAATTAGGGTATCCCGCTGGCGTTGACGGTGATGACGACAAAGTGATTTCTGGGCTTAGTACGGTCCTGGTTGCTTCGATTCAAGAAGCCAAAGATAGGATTTCGCAGATAGAGCTTATATTCTGTAGGAAGCTTTATCCCAATTTTCAGTCAAAATCTAAAACCCTTCATAAATTTTACTCGGAGGCCAGAAAATCTCTGGAAGTGCAGTGGAAGGAGAAGGAGAATGAACTGTTACTTCAGATTGAGAAAATGAGGCTCGAAAATCAACGAGTTTTGGAGGAGAATAGGCTGTTGAATGTTGAGGAAGCCAAGGTAAAGGAATTGGAGAAGGAGTTGCGTGCTAGACAGCTCAGAATCGAGGAGCTGGAAAGGGAGATCAGGAAGAAGAATGAGGAAATCGAGGAAGGATTAATGTTGCATAAGAATTTGGTGGACTTGGTTCAGTCAAAAGAGTCCTTGATTTTGGATAGGGAGGGGAAACTGGAACAGTATGTTGAAAAGACCAAAGGGTCGATTGCCAGGGTGAAAGAGTTGGAGGGAGAAAATGAGGATCTCAAGCTTGGACTAAGAGAGAAGGACGAAAAAATGGCAGCGGAGATCAAGTTGCGAGAAACGTTGCATGCTAATAATTTGGAATTGACCTCTGTGATTGAGGGTTCTGAGAAGGAGAGGAAGCGACTTTTGGCTCAAATAGTTGAGTTGAATGAAGAATCTACAGAAATTCGAAAGAAACTCAGTATTAAAACGCTAGAGTTTGAAGAAAAGGAAGAAATGCAGGGGCAGTTGATCAAACAAATAGAAGTACAGAACTCAGAACTGTTGGAGAATAAGAAAAAGTTGGATGTGCATGAGAAGGAGAAAGAACTTCTTCTGGAAAAAATGACAAGTTTGGAAGAGAAACTTAATCTGCCATATAAACCGAGTACTGGAAGAGGGGAATCATCTGATGGGGTTGATTCATATCGAAGGGTGCTTAAAGACGTTGAATCAATATCATCTGAGCTGCAGGCTGAGAGAAAAAAGAGGTTGCATGTCACTGAAGCTTACAAAAGGCTGAAATCTCAGCACAATTACCTTCGTGAGAAGGTGGGTCTTACCTCAGAAAATATGCTTCCCGACAAATTGGAAAATGAAAGTGATCTGTCCAAGCATAAGAATCCAATTACCGCACCTGGTAAGATTTGATTGTTCTGCTTCCCACCAGCTAAACAAAATCCTCAAGCTCCTGTTATATTCGTTAATTCATTCTTTTTATGGTTGTTGAACTGATTTTATTAAGTAGATTTATCAGATATTTTGGATTAGGAACCATATGCAGTTTATTAGTCGAATGCCATCAAGCTCCTTTATCAAAGTGTAAAAGGTTGATATTTTTTATAATTTGTCTTCGGATTTTTTTTTTAATTTCTTAACGTGTTAGATTCATGTTAGAGATTTTGACAGTAAGCTCGTATAATCTTTACTCTTTTTTAGTCCTTTGAATTATTTTGCGGTTCTTATGTTTTAGTTTTGGCAAAGTTGCATTCATAAGGGTGTCCCATGGCCTACACAAGCCATTTGCTTGACATTGGCTGGGACGGCATTCGTGTCTAACTCTGTATTGCTTGTTATTTGAGATCTTACGGTTTCAAGTCCAAACACCTCCACATATAATTGCGAGTCAGAAAAAGTAAAGAGTGAAAACTTAGAGGATGACTTGAGAGGTCAATTACATTCTCTATTGATATTATTTGTTGCTCTAATATTTACAGCATCTGCAATGCTCGCTCTAGAATTGACCTCAGTCCATCTTGTCTGTACTACGTTACTTGCATAAATTAAATTGCCTAAATATTTTGTTGAGATTTTGAATGCGTACATCTTAGGTTCATAGTCCACCATGTACTAACTTTTATCGCAGGCCTTGAAAACGAAGTCCCTGGTGCTATTGTTGCTGCATCCTGAGATTTTGAATGTGTACATCTTGGGTTCATAGTCCATCATCCGCTACATTTTATTGCAGGCCTTGAAAACAAAATCCCTGATACTTTTGTTGCTGCATGCTGTGTTGTTGAATGTGTACATCTTAGGTTCATAATCCATCATGCGCTACCTTTTATCACAGGCATTGAAAACAAAATCCCTGATACTTTTGTTGCTGCATGCGACCTGAACAATGTGAAGGAAGAAATATTCGAGGATGACAGAGGAATCAAAACCATTCCTCATTCTTCCAGTTTTCGCCGTGGCCCAAAATGCCCCACCAACACAAAATCGGCCTCTTTATCTGGCACAAAGCGGCCTGCATCTTCTTGGAGACAAACCAGGTCCCGCCAAAGTCGAGTAGGCAATGACCCTCATGATGATTTTCTCGACACTCCTCTTGAGAATGTTAGAGCAAATTTAAATAAAGGTTCAAATAAGGAAGACTTGCCGGAGCCAGTCCAGAAAGATGTTAGCATGGGCAATTCAGATGATGAAACACAGGATGTGAATGCCAAAAGCAATCCCCTAAGCAAGAAGTCTTCAGTTCCTTTGGCCAACAAGAAGAGCTTTAAGTACATTGAACCAGTAAGGAAGAAAGCTGAGCGAGAAAAGTTGAAAGGAATTGAATGCAAACAATGTAAGAAATTCTATGATGCTGTTCTTTCAAGTGAAGAGGGTAAGGACCCTGATAGTAGTAAGCAGAATTTTCGATGTGAACATCTTGATGGTGTTTCTAGGCATCGGTATAGATATGCTCCTCCTATGACTCCGGAAGGATTTTGGAATATTGGATTTGAATCTGAACTATAAGGGAAAGGTTTTTCCTCCAACATTGCAATTGTATTATTTCAATCTTCCAACTTTAAAGTATAGTTTCCTTCACTGAATCCCATAGTAAATGAATCCTTTGGCTTTGAGGAAGATAACCTTTATGCCCCTATTTATTATGATTTGATTCTGAAGTTATTTTTATTACTAATATTCCTTTTTCTAAAATGATTATTTCCAAAACTAGGAAGGCATGTCTTTTGATGTTAAATTTCTGGTTTAAGTTTTCATGGGCCATTATTGTGTACTTTGGAGAGGATTTAAATTATATTATGGTTTAGATTTTTGGGGCCGATTGAGATTAGTGAAAAATTAAATAACCACTATGATTTGGATTTTTTTTTTTTTTTTGTGAATTTTCCTCTTGCCATCTGTTGGACTTTATATATTGTTCCACTCTTAATGGGCTAACCAAGTGAATGGTCCCAATATGTCTAATTAATTGATTTTTTAATTTAAAATTCAAATGGAAGGTTTGAGAGGGATTTTAAAAAGGGTAAAAAAGTAAAAATATTCACAAATTCATTAGTCACAAGCACCTAGTATTTTAAATTGAGGAAAAGAATAAAAATACTCATAATGTTACATAGACGGGTGCAAAAGTGATTAGATTGTTAACTTTGACTATTAAATACTGGCTGTATATGTCACGTGTTAGTCTTCGATAACATGGACTAATAAAGGGAAAAAAATATTTACGAAGTTATTGGCTAGGAGCAAAAATACTTATGAATGTAGGCTAAGAGTAAAAATACCAATAACATTACTAGAGTTAGTATAAAAGTATCAATCCATCCAATTCTTTAAATGTTGATCGTTTAGTTGACACTTAAGTAAAAATTGACCTTTTTTTTGCTGATATGGATAAAAAATATTCTTGGATGAAATTCTGTAAAGGTTAATAAGTTATTATATGAATATCATATGAAAAAATATCACTTTGACTTAAAATCAAATTAAATAGCTTGTTTCTTTGCAGTAGTGACGACTAAACATTTAAAAATTTTGAACTTATTATGAATGAAATTGCTTAAGGTTGTGGAAATATTCTTAAGCTAGATATGCTCAATCTCAATCTTCAATTTTGTACAACCTATCTCACTATGTTGAATCTTAAATTTTATAGATAAGAAAAATGAGTAAAGAGGGAGATGAAAAGGGGGTGAAATACATGGCAATGGAAAGAAACCATGTAACATTGATTTTGACGGATTGGTCACCATTGTACCTATTAAAGTAACATTATAGGTACTCATACGATGATCAATCAACATTTGTAAAAATTCATCTGAAAATATTTTTTGTCTATATCAACAAAAAATAGTTAAATTTTACTTAGATGTCAACTAAACTGTTGACATTTAAGGAATTGGATGGATTGGTACTTTTGCACTAACTCTGATAACGTTATGGATATTTTTACTCTTCGTTTATGACCTTGTGGGTATTTTTGCTCCTGGCCAACAACTTTATGAATATTTTTGCCCATTTATTAGTTCATATCAGCAAAGATTGACATGTGGCATGCACAATCAATATTTAACGATTAAAGTTAACAGCGTTAGGTCAAAGTTAATAATTTGTTCACTTTTACACTCATCTATGTAACGTTATAGGTCTTTTTACCATTTTTCTCACTTTAGGACATTGAGTGCCCATAGCTGACCACTTTATGAGTATTTTTGTCCTTTATCCTTAAAAAAAACAATTATTTTTGCAAGCTCAAAAGAGAGTAGACTGCATTGGGGGAAAATAAAAGACAATGTTGGTGGTAGTCATTATGCCTAATTGATTAATGAGTGATTTTTCATTTTATTTCCTTTTTTAACATTCTACCTACAAAATGTTAAAGAGCTCGTTTGGATTTTAGTTAGGTATAATTGATTATGAAAATAATTTATTAATATAGTTGATTTTAACTATAATTGATTATATTATAACGCAATATATTTGGATATTATTTTTTAAAATTAATTTTAATAGAATTGAAGATGTTTAGATAATTTAGCCAGAATTAATTTTAGCAATGCAAATTACTATAAAAGACATTTCTTTTCAAAACTAAATTATCGATAAATTTGTATCTAATAGTATTAAATTTGTTAAATTTTATTTAACATAAAAATGAATTATTGACAAATTATTTATTATTAAAATGGTAAAATGAGAATCAAATAAGCAGGCATAGATAGCTTAACACAAAAATCGATTTTAACCTCATTAATTGATTATTTCATGTATATGTTGTTTGGGTTATTTTCTTTTAAAAATTGATTTCCTCCCAAAAAAATTGATTCTAAAGACAAACCAAACAGGCAGAAAAAGAGTAATACTTTATTCAAAGAAGGGTTAAAATATAATTTTATCTTTAAATTATTCTCACAAGAGCAATGTTGCCCTTAAACTATTCATCATAGTAATGTTGCTCTTACTATTTAAACATCCATTACTATAACTAGTAAGACTCACTTTTGCTGACTTAAAGTGCAATTTTGCCTCTAAATTATTTTTAAAAAGCAATGTTGCTGTCACCATTTAAGAATTATAAACGTCTGTTAACTGTAACTAGTGGAACTACTTTTCATTATCTCTCTTTAGTTAACATTGAATCAAGTCAAGATTTCAACTAGACTGGCATTTCAGTTGCTAGATTGATTTTTGGATAACCATTTATAATACATATGCGAGAATATATTTATTTATGATAGTCACTTTTGTAGGTTGATTCACTCAAGATGATAAGAAGTGATCTTTTTACCCTAAAAATATTTATTATATATTTTTTGTTGGATCAAGAGCTCCCCTTGTAGTGTTGTTAGTGTAAATTTATACTTCAACTATTGTCATATTTGTCATTAAAGAAAATTAGTATAAAAATTGAGCTTCTTGTCAATGTATAGTTCATGACTCGTTGGAATGTTAGTAGAGAATATTATGACACAGATAAATGTTTTCACATGAATATTAGATGTTAGAAAGGATGTGAATGGAATGGTATTAGTACAAAAAGTACTTTTCATTATATATTTTTTAGTTAATAGACATTTATGATTTTTAAACAGTGAAAAAAATATTGCTCGGATTTAATTAGTTCAAGAGGGACATTACTCCTTTGAGAATAGTTTAGGAATAAAATTGCACCTTAACTCATGAAAAATAAGTACCACTAGCTACAGTTAATGGACGTTTAAACAATAGGAGAAATATTGATTTGATTTAATTAGTTTATGGGCAACATTACTACGATAAGTAATTTAGAGGTAACATTGCTCATCTGAAAATAGTTTAAAGACAAAATTGCATCTTAACCCTTCAAAAATCAAAGCTGATTGCATGGAACATTTTCCTACTTGGTTTCTAACAATTGTTTTCTTTATTTTGGCTCTTAGAGCACTTAAAAGCTTTCTTTCAACTAAAAAAAGTGGGGGAAATTTTATTAAAGACTCCCTGACCATACTTATTAAAAAAAACCTTAGAAATTTTAATATATCATTGCAAGATAAGGGTAGTGATTTGATATTAAATTTCACAGCCAAATAATAATATTGCCCCTCATTGAAAAAAAGAAAAGAAAAGAAAAGTTGAAGTTTAATGATTGAAGGCGGTGGAAGAGATAGACGAAAGTGTGGGAATGCTCTCTCCCTCTCATTCCCCCTCTCTAGCTTCTTTCAAACACTAATAACTTGTTTAGTTTTATCTAACACCTCAATCTTATTCTTCAAAGTTCTTTTTCTCTTCACAACAAGATTATAAGCCTCATGAAAGTCATTTGTGATTCCTTAACCTGCGAGTGACTTCTTTATAGTTTTTACTCAAGCCATCTTCTTCAAAGAGTTGGACATAGAATTACATTGAATCAGATATTTGAGAGGTTTACTGAAAGATGAAGTTAAGGGTTTTTGGTCGAGAATGTGTTTATGAAATAATCACAAAGGGAATTTGGTTTTGGTTAAGAGATGGTGATTATCAAGTTAAGAAAATTTGAGTTTCCTACTGATTAGATTTCAGGATATGACTAAGAATGAGACAAAGCAACCTCTAGTAACACATAGAGTCATGTTGGAATGTTACCAATTTATCAGTATGAAAAAGTAACCATTAAAAGGAAATTTTAAATGAATGGATGAAATTAAAAGATCAAGATAGAGAAAATGTACTTGTCATATTGGTATTTCTCTAATATACTGATATATATAGTTCATATGGTATGAGTCTGGGTTTCCATATCATCAACCTATGTCATACCAGTATGTTATGTTGATACTGATTATGTACTAGTTCTATCGGTATGAATATAGGTTTTTATAACAACTTTTGTCATATCGATATGTTGTGTTATTATCGATACGAGTTATTAATATCAGTATGTACTAGTTTTACTAGTGTAAGTTTAAGTTTCACCTAACCTAAAAAATTTTAAATGACTTATTCATTACCCTACTATGTGTGGTTCATCATCTTATGACATCTTGTTAATTTTTCTACCTCACTTATTTGTTGCAAGTTTGGGTTTTTATAACGGCCTCTATCATACCAATATGCTGTATTGATATATGTAATATCTCCTTTATATAATCACAATTAATACTTAAATCCAAGGTAATTAAGGGATTAACCTTGAAGGAATTACCAAGTTAAATCTTGTAGAAATGGGATCCTAAGTTTTCATAGTTCAAAATAAATAACAATACTTTATTAAACTTATAATCATAGTAGAATAATGTTTTGGAAGTATGTGATATCTCAAAGAAATGAAAAAGCTCAAAACTAGTTTGAAAAATATAAAGAATTGAGAAGCAGGATAGTGCTTCATGGTATGTGCACACCAAATTAAAAAATGAAAATAGCACCCAAAAAAATTCTAGAAAATTCAAAAAAAATGAGAAAAAAAGAAAAAAAAATTAACAACCAAATTCAAAAAGTTAACACCTTTGACTCCCTGGCAATGGCGTTAAAATTTTGACACTACTGTCAAAAAGTGCTAAAATTAATAAAAACTAAATTTTACAATAAAGCGCAACCTAGGTCGTCTCCCTAAGAATCAATAGAGTAACTATTTGAATTATGATTATGAAAAGGTAAATAATGGGAGTTTTTTATGATGAAATTAAAACTA